GGAGGCCTCTGGTGGACTAAGAACATGCTATGTGGACCGAAAATAAAATGAATTCAACCAAAGGCCTAAAATCACTTCATTAAACACTCTCTCTTACTCTCTGAAGCTACTGCCTTCCTCCCTCACTGCTCCCTGCCTTTCCTTTACTCGCGCTCTCCTCCTGCGCCCTCTCCCCCTGCTCTTCTGTCCCCTGGCTTCCTCCTGTCCCCTTTCACTTCTGCAGGGACTTGCACCAGCTCCTAGGCTTTCCTCTCTCCTCCTCTGTTGTACCTCTCCCCGTGGGCCACGTCTCTGAGGCTGTATGTCTACACCCTGGGAGCACTAGCTTGTCACCTGCAGACACTGTCATTTGCTTTGGAGAACATGGTGATATTGACAAATGAGATCACAGCGGGAGGAAAATGATTCAGATTTTCAGATCAACTGGATGTGCCACCCAGAGAAGGTCCTTGGGTAGAGACGCCAGTTAAAAGTCCTCCTGAAAATAGTAGGAGGCCATGACCATGCGAGTGCAGGATGTAAGTTCTTTCCTCGAGGGAGGCGTTTGTTTTCCCTTTTAAGATGCAGGCATCCTGGCCCCAAACACCCCGGAACATCCATTTATACCCGATGGAGGGAGATGCCCTCCACCCCACTTGGTGGCAATGCGAGGACTGTGGGAACCTCGTGTGCCTCCCTGGGCTGCACAGAGGTCCAGGCTGCCCTTTCTCAGTTGCCCTGAGACCAGGGACAAGGTTAACAAGTCACCATGCCTTCCTGCAGATTATGCAGAAGGGGACACCTGCAGGTGCCACCACTCCGCAGTGAGAGTTAAATCCGCGATGGGAGAGACCCACCTGACCTTGGGCACTTATGGGCCCTCGGTGGGGCCCAAAAACCTCCTGGGCACAGGGGTGGGGGACCCGCCAATCTTCACCAAGGGAAACATCATGGGTGAAAGCCCTGAGGCCAAGTGGGTCTGATGTGACTTTCCTCTCTAACGATGTTCAGTAACAGGAACTTGGATTAGGTGTAAATGGCTAAAAGCCCAGAGGAGACACTCATTGATTATTTTAAAGCTCTGTTCACCTGGCACAGACACCAGCCCAAGCCTTTCTCTGGTGGTGTTGCCCCTGAAAATGCCGTCTGTGTGGTTGGCTACTGAAGAGAGAAATGAAAGCCTGGAGAAGGGGGTGTGAGCCGTCCCTGTGTCCTGCTTCAGGACAGATTTTGGACTCGGATCTGCTCACTGCTGTAACGAGGGGGTAGAGCCATGCAGAAATCCTGTTTATACGTTGAGGTGTGAACTGGGCAGGGCTTTAAAGACGAGCTGATCCAACCGTCTCGTTTTGCAGCGATGGGATATAAGGCTCCGAGAGGCCTACGGATATGCCCGAGACCACAGAACTGAAGGCCCAGTGAGCCAGTGACCTCCCCACAGAGTCGCCGTGGCCTTGGGAATGGCTCCGAGTCTAAGTCAGTCCTGGGTTAAGCAGGTGCTGAGGGCCGGTTCTGTGTCCCCCCTAGCAATATCCACCCCACACCAGCCGGGACCCCGGGTTACCCAGCACCCAAATTACGTGCAGGAAGGTACTAGAGCAGCAGAGGGAATGGCACCCAGGTGGGACGTGGCTGTCACTGCAGGCCCATTCCTGGTGCTGAGCAGATGGGACGGGGAATCCCGCAGGGAGCGTTTCCCCCAGGGTCTGACAATAAGTGACCATCCTACAAAGCAGGAGGGAGGCTCTAGATCCTGGTAGAAATGGGGCCCAGCTCTCTATGCCCACAAAGAACCAGTAACAGCTCCTCCTTCCCAACCAACGCTCACGAAGGAGCCCTTTCTCGGGAAGCCAGTGCCCAGCGCTGGGCGCCCCTGTGCCTGCCACCCCCTTGTAGCCGAGGTGCCCAGGAAGCGTGCATTCCCTCTGTGTGGTCCGCACGCCCTCCGGGGCGAGGCGGAGTCCGGAGCCTGCGTGGCCCCGCGTTCCCAGCCCGGGCGCGGAGCCCCAAGCGAGGCGCTGCGCACAGCAGCCCGGCAATGAGTGTTCACACACTGACACGGCAAATACTGCGTTCTCAATTTTTAAATTACAACTCTGTGACAAGTCATGCTGTTAAAACATACAGGAAATACCAGTTAAGCCTTCAAGTAGCTAACACACAGATCACTGCTACCCCAAATGCCTAACAAGTCATTTTCTTTAAAACGAGGCAAGAATTAGCAGGTCGTTCAATGATCTGAGGACTAAGATAAGTAGAAATAAGAAATGTGAATATTAAACAGCAATTACTACCTCAGGAGCTGCAGATCAGCTCGGCATTACAACATGCCCCTCCTCGGCAGCAAACCCAGGAAACGCGGGGGTTTGGCAGCAAACACAGACCTGTAACGAACATGCACCTACTCAGTGAAGACACAGCATCGCTGCCCAAACGGCACTTTCAAAATGCTCATCACATAAACGGTGAGGAAAGCCTGGCGCGTATATTTGTCCCAGTGGCATTGAAAAGGACACCTCCAAACGTGGGGAGTGATGCTGCTGTTAAGCCAATTGCTGGCAATACATGGTCCGGAGCTTCCACTGTGGCCCCTGGAGGAGGTTTATGGGTCCGTTTGACAGCCTGGTGGCCAATGATGTCATTTCATATGTATATTCTTAACTCCAGAAACAGAGCAGAGAATTACCATGACCCTCCCTGCAGGGACCAGAACCATGGCTACGTAAGATGCTGTCCGGAAGATCCATCGAAGCCCAGTTGTGAGCACTTGTGAACTTCACACCTTGGTGGTGCTTTAGGGGAGGGGAAAGTCGTTTATTCCTGGGTCACAGTTCAGTCTCCATCCTTGGTGGGAATTAACTTGTGTTTGAGCCAACAGAGTTGGTCTCTCTCCCTCTTACCTGAAACCATCCCTTGGAGTACTCGATGCTATTAGGACACTCTCATGCTCGCAAGCGACTAGAGTTCCAGGATGGGCAAAGGAAAACTTTATACAAGTATATGTATGTACAAGAGGTGTTAAAAAGACAGTCTCTAAAGCACTTTGGGATCCCCTAATGAAAGGCACCAAATAAATGCAAGTCGTTACCAAAATGAAAAGTCAAGTATTCCAGCTTTCACATCTGCAAAGAGCAGCCACCATGGGTATCTCTTTTTTGGTGGTAAAACCTGTCTATTTAGGAAAATACTCATGAGAGTGACTGTTACTCTGCCTCCTTCCTTGTCTCCACTTCTCACAAGCTTGGTGGTCGGTGACTGTGGAGACCACGCTGGGTGGCCGGATACTGTCAGTTTTGGCAAACTGAAGAGTCCTCACATGTCTGCACCATCGCCTGCCTGCAGTGCCGCCAGGGCTGATTCTGTAAATTCTCTCCTTCCAGCACTAGGAACATCGGCCAAAGCCGAGTGCTCCATGTGCAAACTGAAAAATAACCCTGCTCTTCTAACTCGGTGGCCCTTGCCCCTAAGCCGTCTCCCCCTTTCCTAATGCTTCTGAGAAACAGATGCGGATGGTAGACCATCAGGCACCAGGACGTGGTCACCTCCCCACCCCCATGCGGCTCCAGTCCGATGGAAGGATTTGAACTGGGAACTCGAGGGCACATGTGACTGGCGCATTCGTCTAACCAAATCCCTTGGTCTGTAGTATCCATGGCAACTACAAGTGCATGAAGCCTTCTGACAAGATCCTTACCACACTCCCGTGAGGTATGTATTACTTTCAACTAAGACACAAAATGGGCCTGTCTAGGGAAGGCCCAAGTCGTGGACCAAAGGCCTGCCTAACTCCACACCTGGACTCCTAGATTCTGCAGCCTTTCCAAAGACCGAGCCACAATGGGAGCCAACTGTAAAGCCACCTGGTTACCTAGAAGGTAATAAAGGCTGTCCTACAAAGGGGCCTAGGTTCCCCTGCACAATGTCATGTGCCAACTAACAGAAGAGGGGGAGGGGGAGGGAGGAGAGGGGAGAGGCATTTCGGAGAAGGAAAGAGTTCTCAACCTTCAACACAAGTTCAGAAGTTTAAAGGTCTTTTAAATAGCACTGCGCTTTTCAAGAAGTTTACAGTTGTTTATGACAGTAGCGACGTTTTGTCTTACAGCTCTCCCCTTTTCTCTGCGCTCTACGCTCCCTCCTCCAACTAACGGCAGCTGAAGCGGAAAGAAGACCTGCAGGATTTCCGCCCTGGGGAGGCAGCACAGCCTTCACGCATTTCTGTATTTTGAGTACACGCTCCACACCACCAGATTTCCACACCAGACCCGGAACTGCGGGGAAGTCACGGCATTGCACAAAACGTACTATATTCTAGAGGCAAATTTATCCAAGTCAATCTGCTTGGAAATAAAAGGGCTCTCGTTTCACAAGCTTGCAGCGCAGGCAACGAAGTTGCTAGCAACCCAACAACGTTTGCCTCAGGGAAACAACACAACACTAAACCTCTTTTTAGTTGAGAAAGACAACACCTTATTACTAAACATTTTAAAAAATAAATATTTCAAAAACATGCTAATATCTAAGACATAGCAAAGTTAGGCCAAATAGGCTAGACCAGGAACCTCCGCCAGAAAGAAATGCCTCCACGGTCACCCTAGGAAAGCCAGAGGCCTGAAAAAGTCTTTGAGCATCCTACAACTTGGCCTATGTTTAGCTGAGGCTCTGTCCCTAAAGCATCTATTCTAGGAAACAAATTCTTATCTTCACTACATGTTTAACAGAGTAACATTCTCTAAAGAGCAACATCTAAGAGATGAACATTAGCACACGTAGTTCTAAAGGTGACCAGTGTATCCATGCAAGTCATAGAGCCGCAGATCATTTATAGCACAATTCACAGACCTGCGTTGGCCATGTGCTTAACCTCACATTCTCTGTTTCGGTATTAAAACTAAATGAATAAAAAAACTGAGATTTTGTTTTCACATGACGTGAGCAAAACCCCGTCATCTCCTTGCTGACCCCATAGATGTGTTTCCACTGGACAGACATGTACAGAAACTTACATGACAACCTTGGAAAAAAGCACGAGAACCTCACAGACAGGACTGGGCCACGAGCACTAGAGTAGAGCACACAGTGAACAGAGAAATTAGCATTCTGGGGGGTACTCATCCAGCAGAAATGTGAACATTTTATGCCCATGATGCAAATACCAGTGAGTGTCATTTCACTGAAAGGCGCAAAGGCATGGTGCCAGGCACACCACCCTCTAAAAATGATTCTAAGAACTGTAGAAGCAACCTGGGCGCATAGCCCACGCCTCTCCCCCCTTTGGGGCTGGCCATGCTCCTTCCGCCATCACCCTAAGGGGCCTGGACTGTGCCAGAGCCGCTAGAGGCAGCTCAACAATGTGGGTCTGAGGGCCACAAGTCCTCCCTGCTACTGTAGGGAATCGTTTAAACTTAATTCGCTTGGTGAGCTCCTGCTCATGTTTGTCAAGCTTGCCATGAGGGATTTAACTTTATGGGCATAGTAGTCCCTCAGATTGACGGAAGGGACCTCCTTCATTCCATCTCCAAAGTCACAGCTGCGCATGGCACTCTCAAGTTGCTTCTGGCGCCGATAGAAGTGGGAGAACTTATTGAAGATCAAGGTGATGGGTAGTACCACCACCAGGATACCTGCCAGGATGCAGGCCGAGGCCGTCAGCTTCCCCGCTGTGGTCCCGGGGACCACATCCCCGTACCCCACGGTGGTCATGCTGACGGTGGCCCACCACCAGCAGGCGGGGATGGTGGCCAGGCCGTGGTTGTCCTCCTTTTCGATGGTGTAGGCCACCACGGAGAAGATGGAAATCCCCACGGAGAGGTAGAGCAAAAGCAGCCCCACCTCTTTGTAGCTGTATTTCAGGGTGGCCCCCAGGGAGCGCAGGCCGGTGGAGTGTCTGGCCAGCTTCAAGATGCGGAAAATGCGCATCAGCCTCAGGACCTGGGCCACCCTGCCCAAGTTGGCCAAGGTGGGGGTGCTCTCGACCACCAGGTTCACCACCAGAGTGATGTAGAAGGGCAGGATGGACATGAGGTCGATGAGGTTCAGGGCGTTCCGGAAAAACCTGAGGAACTCCGGCGCCACCGCAAACCTGGCCACCAGCTCCAGCGTGAACCAGGCGATGCCGAAGTGCTCCACGATCTCGAACCTGGGGTCCTCGCCGGGGCTGCCCTGGCCGTCGGGGATCTGGAAGTCCGGCAGGCTGTTGAGGCACATGGTGATGATGGAGCCCAACACCACCAAGATGGACAGGATGCTGAAGACCCGGCTCAGCACCGAGTAGCCCGGGTTGTCCAGCGCCAGCCACAGCCGCCTGCGGAAGCCGCCCAGGGGCTGCCCGTCGAACTTGGAGGCGTCGTGGTAGAAGGCGAGGATCTCGTCGAAGGAGGGCGAGGCGCTGTCCCGCTCGCTCTGCTCGTCCCACGCGTCGCGCTCGGGCTCCACTTTGCGGCCGTGGTAGCTGTAGCTGCAGCAGGAGTCGATGAAGAACTCGTCGATGCCCCAGTACTCGATCTCCTGGCTGAAGGAGAAGACGCACAGCTCGGCCATGACGTGCAGGCGGCCGGTGCGGTAGAAGTGCAGCACGTAGGGGAAGAGCGCGGGGTTGCGGTCGAAGTAGAACTCGCGCCGCGCGTCGTCGTAGTCGTCGCAGAGCTCCAGCGCGGCCTCGCGCGAGCGGCAGCGCAGCAGGCGGCCCAGGCGCGTCTCGGGGAAGCGCAGCAGCGTGTGCGAGC